CTTAAAAACACTCGTTTCCGATAAAACCGAGATGTTTTCTCAAAAACCGGCTTCACGTGGACAGAGTTTTGGCTCGAAAACTCTTTTTCTCGGGATCTTCGGGGCTTTCTTATGATTATAGGATAGTATTTAAGGTTTAGGGGTATTTAGTGTAACTTAAAGAAAAGTATAGGGTGAGAGAATGAAAATTTGTAAACAGAAATCGGATGGCTTCGGGTGCTATTATTGTGGTTGAACCCTCAAGTTACGCTGGGTGTAACATTCCTTGTACGCGGGGCGTACTTCTTCACCACCCACTACGCAGGACGTACATCGAGTACGCTGGACGTACGAATGGATCACCTCGGACGTGTCAAGGCTACGAACACGTGTCCACCATGCAACGAAGTAGAGCTACGTGGTCAATCACATACCATTAACACAATAGTACGTTGGGCGTACATACCTTGTAGACTGGGCATACATATTTATATGCTAAGCATACCACTTGCTAAACTGGGTGTTCTTCCAGCCTCGAAGTTTGTACCTGAAACTTCAAAAATTGATATATTTTGCATATCTGCTCCATTTTTGACGTTCTTTATATCCACGCGTAGGTGAAATTATGTTCTACAACTTTCGTTTAGACTTTGTCGGCTAATTCTGACTTTATTTTTAAATTTATATTTTAACAGGCCGGGACATGAAAAATCTGCTAAAAATTCATAACTTCTTCATCCGACGTCTGTTTCCGTCTGTCTTTTTACCATTATAGTACAATCGACAATATATATTTTATTCTCGTTTACATTGTGCCGACTAAAAATCGCTCGATCTAAATTCGCGTTTCGGGCTACATACCGCTCTACCAAATAACATTAAACCAAATATTATATTTAATTTTATTCATGTGTAACTCGCGGGTAGAAATCATTCAAACGAATTATTATATTAAATTTACCAACAATGTTACTGATATATTTAAAAAAACATATATTTGTAAATACTTTAATTATATATGTGCTTTTGCGCAACGCGCATGTATTCGCCTAGCAAGTATTTAAACTCATAATTTTATTGGACAATTTAGATTACACTATATGGTTTGACTATTTGGATTTTGAGATGAGTTTTGATTAAAACTGAATTATTATTTATTTTTTTAAAACCTAATTATTATTTTTTTGGATTGGTTTTCGTTAGAAAAATAAGAACCAAATAACTTAAAATTTATATATATTTGTAGTTTAGTTTTTTAAATTTTAGTATATATCTTGAATTATTTATTAATTTATCATAGCTATTATTATTATTATTATTATCATCATCATCATTATTATTATTATTATTGTTATTATTATTATTATTATTGTTGTTGTTATTATTATTATTATTATTAATATATATATATATATATATATATATATATATATATATATATATATATATATATATATATATATATATATATATATAAAGTTTGTGATAAATTTCAACAGTAAACTGTTGAAATTTAATCCAACTTATGTCCCTACACTTTTTGTACCCGTTTTAGTTTAGTTAGAGGGGGTGTTTTGTAAATCTGGAGATGCACACGTTTTCTATTTGTACTTCACCCCCGTGTCCAATTCAACAGTAGTTTCTGTTAACTGTGATCTATAATTTTTCCACCAACTTCGCAGGCGTATACCACGTGTTTTACCCTAAAATCGATTGGATGGAACGTGTTCTGCTTCATCTTCCGATGGTTGCCCACCCACCGCCATCACTTCTGTAAACGAATTTATCTCCAAAAAGGCATCGATCGATCTGGCAACGACCCTCACTATTATTTTGAAATTCCATTCACCAAAAAACCAAATTCACTACACCATCTTCCTCCAACATTCAGGTGTCTTCTTTTTCACACCGCGTCTCGCTATCTTTCGATTCTCAATTGCTACCATTTTTTAAGTTGCAAAGGAGACCGGCCGCTTCTAATCGACCTTCGAAGGCGGTAACCACTTCACCTCCTTATGTAAGCATGCATGGTCCTCATCCTTGAATTTCTCCGAACAATAACACGGTAAGTTTTAGGAGTTATCCATTTGATCGTTGTAACGAACAATATTGTCGTTAGATTTGTGTTTCCTGTTAGGATTTTCATTTGGGTGCCGGATTCCTCTATCCTAATTGATATGCTTCTTTGTTTGTCTTGTATTTTGTGTAGCTTCCCATGTCAGTAACATCACTTCGACCCAGCGAAAGAGAAATAGGTTCTCGCTTTTAATCAGGTTTCTTTTCTCAAATTTTCGTCCTGAATTTACAGTTTCTAGGGTTTTAAATTCATTGATGGTTTTTTTTTTATTTTTTTGAATTTCGCCTTCAGATACATTACTCAACAGGTGTTTGTTTGTTCTCTCGGCACCGGACTTCCCTAAAACCATAATTGCTAGAGCTGCTGAATACAAATTCCCAGACCTAATACCAGAATTCGCTGAAGCTGTAAGCTTCCCCAGCTAAAGTTCTAAGCTTTGATTTCTTCTTTTACCATTTGAATAATGCGTTCTATGTGTTTGTTAAAATGTCTGGATGTGACTGTGTGTTTGCGCTTACTGTTTGGTAGATTGTCGGTACCGCTTCAAGAGAGCATGTTCTGTTATTCACCTATTTGTTTATTTAATTGCAACCTTTTCTGATTAATTCGAAAATAAACCATAGATTTGTGATATATGGTTAGTTTTTAAGTCTCACATTTTTTGCTGGTAATTTCTATTTATACACTGTGTAATGTTTTATTTTTTTTCCCTTTACAACGAATAATTATTTTATCTGGTAGCACCCTAAAAATATTCCCGTTCATGTGTGTGAGCAAATGCGATACCTTTTCTGTTCGTAAATAATGGAGTTTTTGTAATAGGGTTGGTGAATTCATATCACTGGAAAATTTGCTGTATTTTTCCAGAAATTTCCAGGTATACCCCTCCAGCTACTGCTGTATATTGTGTAAATAACAATTTAGACGTATGTTGTTTCCAGAAATATATGTTCAATAGAATGTACAATCTAAGTAAAATTAGCGAATTGATCTGATATTGTGATTTGAATTGATGTAAAAACTTACTCTTGGTTAAGTGTAGGCATGGAATTTCATGAATATGAGGGTGACTCATTCTTTTTAGATTTTATATTCTTACAATTTTTCTGTATTCGGCTTTAATATAGATGATGGGGGCATATTGGTCACTTCATTCAACTGTTGAACTGATATTTGGAACAATGATCCTTCTTGGTTCAATTTTCTCCCTCCAATAGCAAGGCAATGGTATGGAAGTGGTGGTTCTACCAATTTTCAATCCTAGCTTCTCCCTCCAACACATACTGAACTCTAAAATGGTACTACTCATACTCTATCATGAGTTGGTCTACTGCTACAAATTATCATTGATATATTATTATAGATTTTCGGTTTAGAGTCGTCACTAAAAAAAGATGCCTGAGGTTGACATTTTTTTTTAAGTATTTATAAAAACTATTAGTAGATTTTGGTCTATGTTGTATGTATGTAGATGTCTACTGTATCTGAAAAAATTGAATTGTTACCTGTGTGTTTATTTACTTAATAACAAATAAAATTAAAAACACACTGCTGTAAGTTATTAAGTTCAATGCGATTTCTGTTGTAGCCCCAACAAAATATCAATCCACAACAACCACAATGGATGCAGTGGTATAAAATCTAACCAATTCAACAGCAGCCACAACATGTGTTACAGATAACAAAATGAGGTGAGCATTAATAATCCATTTCATGAAAAAGTCAACAAAAGCTTATTTCTTAAAGATGATGATTTTGAATATTTTTTTTTTTTATCAAAGCATTAAAGATTTGCTGCACTAACAAGGAGCGGTGGTAATTAGGTAGGTGATGTTTGTTACAAACACCGAACCAAGTAAACATTTTGTATTTCTTTTGTTTTCATTGATTTGGTAAATAAACTCACATGTCATGCCAGTCAAGAGACTTGGAGCTTGCAACTTCAACGTTGGTATGTTACAAATGATAGTTTCCGAAACTATTTTTTTTTCAACCAACGCATACATTTCAAACCAACAAATCTAAAAACAAAAATGCCTTCCGACCCATGCGAAGCATGGGTTTCTTCACTAGTTGTTATTATTATTATTATCATCATCATCATCATCATCATCATCGTCGTCGTCTTCGTCGTATTACTAGTTCGCATGGGTTTCTTCACTAGTTGTTGTTATTATCATCATCATCATCATCATCGTCGTCATCATCATCATCATCATCATCATCATCATCATCGTCGTCGTCTTCGTCGTATTACTAGTTCTAGCCTAAATAAAAAGCCTTAAGCCCTTCACGTATTCACAAAGATTAACTTGTTTATGGATTTAAACTAAAATTTGAAACTTGTGAATGCTAAAAATATAAAGTTGATCATCTCCAACATTGTTGCTCAAAGTGATCGTATAATAATTTAAAAGAGTAACTTCATATTTAACTACTGAACTTTTTTTCGTGATATCCTGTGAAATTGTTTTACTTTTATTAACGGTTATCAAATTAATAAAAGTAAACAAACATCCTTACATGCACAAAAGAGCATCCGATATATCACTTAAAATCTTTTTTTTTTTTTCATAAGATCTGAAGATCATTTTGATTAATTCAAATGACCTATGAATCATGCCACATGAATTATACTCACATTACAAATTTTTAATCTAATACAATCAAAATTGATTGCTTGATTCCAAATTCTTTAAATTAAAAATTCTACAATTTAATTAAATTAAATTATCCTTCCTATAATCTCTTGAAGACATCCCAAATCATAATATTTGGGCTCAGATCTCAAAATGTCCAACTTAGAGACCCAAAATCTCATCGACTCGTCTAACCATTCTTCAGCCACCACCGTCGCCGCCTTCCAGCATCACCCACAACCACCACCTCAAAGTTACTCCGCCCAATAACATCAGTCATACTCCAACCATTACAATGGCTAAAAATGCTATCTTCAAAACTCAACCCATCATTCATCATCGGAATCTTCCTCGTTTATGGCCTCAGCCACGGCTTCTCGGTCTCCTTTTTCAAAATTGTCACTGACTACTACTGGAAAGATGTCCAAAAAGTACAACCCTCGAAGGTACAAGTCTTCATAGGATTGTACCATATTCCATGGGTCATGAAGCCCATATGGGGTCTCATGACCGATGTCTTTTCGGTGATGGGGTACAAGAGACGACCATACTTCACTGTGGCGGTAGTGGTGGGGGTGGTGGCAGCAACCATGGTGGCACAAGCTGGTGCGAGGGTGGGAGTAGGTGCGGCGTTGTGGTGTTTGATAGCGATTGCAGCGGGAATGGCGATGACGGATGTGACCATAGATGCTTGCATAGCGAGAAATAGTATAGAGATAAAGGCATTAGCTTCGGATATGCAGAGCCTCTGTGGGGTGTGCTCGTCGGTCGGTGCCCTCATTGGTTACTCCACCAGTGGCTTCTTTGTTCATCATCTTGAGCATCTGGACCTCATGTTAGGTTTGTTTCTATAATGGAAAAAAAGTTAACCAAAAAAAAAAAAACTAAAATATTCATTTTAATGTACAATTTTTATATTATTACATACCGATAGTATACATTTCTCTTAACTTTTTAATATTTTTACGAACTTGAGTGAAGATATAATATAACTTTTTTATAGTTCCCAAGCGTGTTTTACTTTATTTTGTTTATAAAATCATCAAATACATGATAGATAAACCATCCATACCAGTAAAGTCACTCATTTTTCAAATTTGCAAGCTTTGCAATAATCCTTCACATTAATCAAATACACTCTTACAAACACTTTTTCTAAATGGATCCTATCTAGCTCCACTCACCATATAAAACAATTATTTCACATGTTTTTTTAATTATTTAAAATTTGTTTAACAAACTATTAATATTAATATATTATTTTATTATTTTAGTTAACAAAAGTTACATGTAAATCGTTAATTATTTTACAGTTGGAACTTGGAAGATGAGTATAACTATTGTTTATAAATATATTAATCGTCAATATCTCATCGGAAATGTAAATACTGTTATAATCAAAAGTTTTAATTTAATTAAGTTTATTGGATAATTATAAATTTTGAAGAAAATTTGAAAAGATTTGAAACAAACATAAATTTATCAATAATATAGTATATTGATTATTATTTATTAAACAAGTAAATAAAGGACAAAATTGCAAATTTGGTCCCTGTGGTATGTCCAAACTAGCATGTTTGGTCCAAAATGGGTTTGGCTTGCAAAGATGGTCCAATAGTTTCTATTTGTTGCGAGTTTAGTCCAATGGCTTAACAGCCGTTACCAAGCTCCCGTTAATTTACCCATGCCCCTCTCACTTAAGGGTATTTTAGTCCATTCATCTAGCCCCTTTATTATTTTATTATTATTTAGTCCATAAAGAGACTACAACGTATCTATTCTCGTCTCCAGCAACAAGCCCTAACTGTCACTCCCTCTCTGATTTCATCTTCTCCATCGATCACCCCCTTGTGATTTCATCTTCTCCATCGACAATGGTGATGTGCGTCTGCAGAAAGTGGGCGATAGTTCGGACATCGTGGACAGATAACAACCCAGGGCGCCGATTTTGGGGATGTCCTGACCCGGTAAGTGTGTTAAACTTTATTTTGAATACTACTCCCTGATGATCTAATGTTTCTTTCTTCTTTTTTTTCAAGAATTCATCATGTGGGTTTATTGGGTGGTATGATGAACCCATGTGTGCTCGTTCCAAAGTTATAATACCAGGGCTGCTTAGGACAATCAATAAGCTACGAAAAGCAATGGATGATACAAAAGAACAAGCAAGCAAGCATGAAAAAGCAATGGAGAAGATCAAAGAACAAGCAACTATGTTGAAGTATTACCTAGTCTATAGTTGGATTTCTTTTTGTTGTTGTGTTGGTGTTCTTGTTGTAAGTCCACAGGTTGATTGTGGTTATCTTTTGTAATAGGATAGGGGTATATGTGTCTGGTTTAAGTTTTTTTTTTTGCTAATGTGGAACATTGTAATGCAAAGTAATGGTTAATGAAAATTTGGTATCTATTGACCAATTATGGATTTGTTCTATTGTTCATACATAACCTTCTAAAGATAACATATAATGCATCCATATGTATTTAACACAAAAGCATACTAAAGACATAATACCTATTACCATCTTCAAAATACATGTCATAAGTTAATTGAAAACAAAGTTATTGCAACAAACGACATCCTGCATCTAGGAATCAAACCAAAGTTGTTCAATACAGTCAAACCAAAAGATAAAACCAACATAGACCATCAAGTCCCTCCCTGACCTTTGCATGTCCTGGAGTTGTGCCCTTTGTTTCCACACTTACTACAAGTCACACTAACAAACTTTCTTGTTAGTTTCCCACCACCATGTGGACCATGACCATGAATCTCACTGGGACCAACATCTGACCTTTGACTCTGACTTTGACTCTTGCTTTGACTTTTCTCCTCCATGGATTTCCTTCTCTTCCTCTTGGGTTTCCCAGGTTGATTACGGTGTGGGGGATGTGTGATCTGCATTGGACACTCACTTCTAGGCCACATTGCCTGACCTTTAATTGGTTCCACCTTGTACCCATATGCAGTTTTCCAAGTTTGTAGCCAGTGCACCTTGTGGACATAAGTATGGAGCTCTTGTACACACTCACCATGATCTGCTTTGTTATACAACACAGAAATCACATGTCTGCAAGGGATACCTGTTAATTCCCATTTCCTGCAGCTGCATACCCTTTCATGCATATCAACAACATGTTGATCATTCCATGGGCCTTTGACTTGGTATTTTTCATCACCACACCATTCTGCAATGTACTGAGTAGCAGCTGCTTCATTCTTCTCCATGATCTTTGTTGCTGTTGGGGTGAGTGGGCCTAAACACTTTTGCTGCACCCTGAGGACATTGCATATCCTCTTCATCATATATTCCCTAATAAACTCCAAACAGATAATAATTGGTTTGTCTCTCCCATCAACTAGCTTTCCATTAAACACCTCACAAAGGTTGTTTAACAGCATGTCTGTGGTTGCTCTCCCTGTATAGAAAAGGGTAAAAGTGTCATAATGTTATGTGAAGGGTAAAATGGTAAAAGGGTAAAAGTGTCATAATGTTATGTGAAGGGTAAAATGGTAAAAGGGTAAAAGTGTCATAATGTTATGTGAAGGGTAAAATGGTAAAAGGGTAAAAGTGTCATAATGTTATGTGAAGGGTAAAATGGTCATAATGTTATGTGAAGGGTAAAATGGTAAAAGGGTAAAAGTGTCATAATGTTATGTGAATGGTAAAATGGAAAAAGGGTAAAAGGGTCATAATAGCTTACCTGTGAAATGGCTTTTTGCCCAATGTTGTGGTGGTATTGACTTCAACCATTCATATGCTGATTTGTCAAATAAACTGAATTGGTGCATGAAATGGTTAAACTCTGGCACTGTTGTAGCTGTGGCACAATCCCAAAGGTGATCTTTATATTCCTTAGTTCTTCATTGTTTCTTCATGTTCTCATGTATATGTCTGAAACAGAACCTATGCTCAGCACATGGGAACAATTGACTAACTGCTTGTAGCAAACCCTGGCAACAAATTACACATGATTAACAAAATAAACATTAAAAAAAATAAATAAACAACCATTACCTTTTGTCTGTCACTAACAAAAGTGAAATTAGACATGGCATGTAGATCCAAGTCATCACCAAGACATTCAAGGAACCACTTCCAAGATTCGCAGTTTTCAATCTCTACAATGGCATATGCAAGTGGGTATATGCCATTGTTGGAATCTAATCCAACTGCAGTTAAGATCTGGCCTTGATAAGGGCCTTTCATATGAGCCCCATCTAGCCCCAAGAAATCTCTTAAACAAGCTTTGAATCCCTTCTTCATCCCCCCTAGACAAACATAAATTCTTTTGAAACATCTTGAAGTGCAATTCACCAAATTAGATTCTGAAACATCTCCAAGTTCTAATTTGACTGTGGTATCAGGATTGGTTGACTGCAACTCAAGGATATAGTCTCTCAGAACTTCATACTGTTTTTTGTAATCACCCACTACAATCTTTTTTGCATCTGCTTTAGCTCTAAAAACTTTATGGATTGAGAAGCCCACTCCATACTTCTTCTGTAATTGTTCTTGGAGAGCTTTAACTGGGATAGTAGGGTTGGATTCTACTTGATCCATGATTTGTTTGGACATAAACTTCGCTGTTGCAGCTCTCACCTTCCTTGTATTCATACAAGTGTGTTTGTCTTCATATGTTTTAACGTACCAGCTGCTTGCATCTGTAGACCTCGAGGCATGTAACATCCAAGGACAAGAAGAATCTGCTTTTTCCTGACTTGTACCACCTTGTTTGTCCTTTTCTTTACTTTTCCCTTTACTTTTCCCTTTAATTTTCCCTTTACTTTTTTCAGCTTGGGTAGGTCCACCAACTCCATCATTAGTAAATGCCACAACTCCATTACATATGGCCCTCAATCTGGATTTGTCATTTTTTTTAAATGCAATATTCTTTTTTGTTTCCAATGCATGCATTTTGATTTTCTCTTTCAACTCCTGCTTACTGTTATACTTTTGACCTATTTTAAAATTACACTTATGAACCTCACCTAAAGAACAACTTTTTTCCTTACTTAGTTGTTTCAAAATTGCTCTTCTCTTCCTGTCCTGGTCAGAATCCTCATCCATGGAATCAAAAGCATCATTGTCAATGACATCTAACTCATCTGCTTCTTCATCACTCTCATGTTGTCTAGGATTCCTAGCCCTTTTATCTAAGAACTCTACTTCTGTATCAACGCTCATGTTAAAATCCCTCATGTCAACTTCAATATCTTCAATTACATTATCTTCATCCACCCAATAATCACTATCATCACTACCATCTTCCTGCTCTGTTTCACTTACATTTTCTTTTCCACTACTATCCATGTTAGACTGAGGTTGGTTTTCATCCATCTGAGCTTGGTTTTCTTCATCCATTTGAGGTTGGATTTCTTCACCCATTTGAGGTTCATTGACATCATGCATGTCAGTGCCATTGACTCCATCAACATTGCTTTGTAGTATTTTTTGGTAGAGTCCAATATCAAAATCAGTAGCTGCCTCAACAAAGTCTTTGGCTATCTGTTCAGTCTCACCAATATCATCAAAGTAAATTTTCTTACTGCAAGATGCCATCACTCCATCCTTGCTCATACCCCTTCTCCTATTATATCCAGGTGATAAGGATACGACTTAAACTATTTCATTAACTTGGATTTCAGGTTGGTTTGCTTGAGTGGGCACCACATCAACTAAATTATCAGTAGGTGTAGTCATCACAGGTGTTTCCTTTGATTGGTCATCAGGAGCTTCATCAATGTGGTGCACATCCTCATGTGGTTCATCTAACTGTACAAGGGTAACCTTGGTAACATGCTTAGGATTCAAGAAATAGGTGAGTAGTCTTGTTTCACCATGCTCTGTGTATACCTTCATCACTTTGTGCTCACTGACATATTGAGAAAAGTTTGCAACATCTTGATCATTTCCTAAAGGGCGAAGACCAAAGTGGAAGTCTCCACTAGGCACAAGAAAATGGTAGTATATAACAGGAGGAACCCCATATCTAAAACCCTTCATGATTGCATCGAGCTCATGAACTGAAAACTCATCTATGTCTACCATGTCAACATAGTTTACAGTTCCATCAATGTAACGAACATCAGGGTACTTGGTGAACTCACCTCCATGGTACAACTTAATGGTAAACAATGTTGGGTGTCCATCTTCAAAACAAGAAAAAAAAAAACACCTCAGTTGGACTTACTTAAAAAAAATCAAGAAATCAAAAGATGAAAAAGGCCAAATTACGTACCATAAACAACCTTGGGGTTGAAGGGTGTGTTTAACAACCTTACATTCCACATTGTTATGTTCATCCACCGATAATCTCTACAAATCGCAGCTTAACTAACAGAATTGATTTTGTGTCTAGGGCTTTTATTGATCTTGGTAAAGAACGACGGTCTACTTTATTGAGGAGGAGACGAACTGCTTTTATTGAGCTTTAGCGGGAACGGTTGCAGGGATTAATGGACTAAAATACCCTTAAGTGAGAGGGGCATGGGTAAATTAACGGGAGCTTGGTAACGGCTGTTAAGCCATTGGACTAAACTCGCAACAAATAGAAACTATTGGATCATCTTTGCAAGTCAAACCCATTTTGGACCAAACATGCTAGTTTGGGCATACCACAGGGACCAAATTTGCAATTTTGTCTAAATAAAGTAAAATAGAGAATTGGAGTAAATTATGAATGCTTTACAATTTTATTTAATTCATATATTATATAAAGTATAGTGGTGGGTCCTACTATATGTATATGTGGCTTTTCAAATGTTTTATATTTGCAAGTGTCATGCTTACGTGGCATTGACACCTCATTTGAAAGAGAGTTGCAAAACTATTTAAAATGCCGATGTAGATGTTCTAACGTTAATTCTAGTTGAAAGTTACATTTTTATTTTATTATAGTTTTATTTTGTTTGGAACCCACGAATATATTTACAATAGGCTGCACCAGTATTATAGTTTTGTTAAAAGACAGTGACCAGGCTTGGATTTATACTAAATGTATACGCACATAAATATTTCCATTAAAATAATATATTGAACGTAATAAATAATTCAGCAAGTGTGAGCTGTTGAATAATATAAAATTCCAAATGGAGTTTGACGAAATGCTACTGCTTTATTTTATTTCACTTAAAAACACGGTACTTTATTTTGCATATAGTTTAATAAAATATTTAATTTATAATTAAAAACATAAAAAAGTTAGTCATAGGACAAAACTTATAAATTTTGATCAAAACTTATTGGATGTACATGTATACATAAAAATAGATCAATTGATAATTAATATTATGATTTTTTACGGTGATTGTTAATTAAAAAAAAACTTATCAAAAACTACGTCTTTAATTTAGATGCAACTTTTAATGAAATTTTACAAAGAACAAAAATACTAATGTATGGTTTCTTTATAATCGTGTAAAGATTGCTTTAAGACTTCTGGCAATTCCAGCAGCATCACAGATATTTTTGGGATTTGTGATCTACGAAAAGAAAACATTTGATGACTCTTCTGCAAATAAAAAACAGGTTAGAGTTCAAGAATCTTCACATATTTTTTTTCATAATATGTAGATTAGGGAAGAACATCGTAACCGGGTACCCGCTTTTTGAATCGAAACTGTCTTAGAACTGCCGGTTCCGAAATCAGAACTGCCTTAAGCGGTTCCGGTTATGGTTCCTAAAGTTATGGAACTGTCTTAAGCTGTTTCGGTTCCGGTTCTTATTTTTTCAGAACTGCTACCCGTTGGGTACCCGTCAGAACCGGTTTATATATATATATATATATATATATATATATATATATATATATATATATATATATATATATATATATATATATCTTAATTACCTTATCAAACATTTTTGGTTAAATGTTGAATTTTAAGTCGTACAAACATACAATGTATTTGTACAATCAATTTGTGCATTACAAAAAGAGTAGAGTACATATGGTCAACAGTTGAAAATATCAAATCTCTTATCCTTTATTCTTAGACTGTTTTGACCCGGTTCATTTCTTATCTTCGTATTTTCCCAAATCTCGCAATTTTTGTTCACAAATCTTGGATATATATCGTTGACGTTTCCATTTCTAGGGTTTAATTCATCTTTCAGCATTCGACCACCATTGTCACACCCGTCGCTTGGCGCGGGTAAACGGCTATTTTATATATATATATATATATATATATATATATATATATATATATATATATATATATATATATATATATATATATATATATATATATATATATATATATATATATAGACACACATACTTTTTTGTAAACTATCGGCAAATATGAAATAAACAAAGTGTGTATTTTAAAACCTTAATATTACAAACGCATCTTGGTGTAGTTTGATATTCAAAAAAATATGTATGGTATTATTTAGACCGGTTTAAAATATATTTGTTTGATTTTATATGTCGCTGGTTCAAATTGATATGATTTAGACCGACCTAAATTGTAGTATTTATTAACAAAAGTAAACAAATATTGTTGTAACCGGGTTACCCGGTCCTAGAACCGGAACCGCCGGTTCTGGTACTGGTTCGAAAAATTTAAGAACCGCCTAGATCGGTTCCAGTTCCAGTTTCAGCTTTCTAAAAATCGTTGGTTCCAGTTTCGGTTCTCGCAAAATGAAGCGGGTACCCGTCTATGCTCATCCCTAATGTAGATATCATAATAGTTTATTTAATCTAGTGAATAATCTGAAAATAGGTCTATTGAAAGAACTTTTTGTTTCACACAGGCAATAATAGATAATTTAGGAGGAGCACTAAAAGGCATGTATGAAACCATACAATTCCCACAAGTCTGGAAGCCATCTCTTTACATGTACCTTTCCTTGGCTCTTAGTTTTTGTACACACGAAGGCCAGTTTTATTGGTACACTGACCCTAAAGCTGGCCCTGGATTCACTCAGGTACTCTTTTTTAAATTTTATTGCATCATCATTATACACACATAATTTTTTCTAATTTTATTTATTTGAATGTAGGAATTGGCTGGAATGGTACATGCAATTGGAGCATTGGCTTCCATTGTTGGAGTTTTGATCTATCACAAGCTCCTCAAAGACTACTCATTTCGAAACCTAATATTTTTTGCTCAATTGGTATACGGCCTCTCAGGGATGCTTGACCTCATGTTCATCTTACGATGGAACCTTGCTATTGGGCTTCCCAACTACCTATTTGTGGTCTTGGAAGAATGTGTTTCCCGAATAGTAAGCAGAGTCAGATGGATGCCAATGATTGTATAGAGCACAACTTTATGCCCAATAGATATCGAGGACACCTTTTTTGCATTGTTAATGAGCATTGATAGCATCGGTTCATTGTCTTCCAAATGGGGAGGCGCAATGATTCTCCATTTGTTTCATTTCACGAGAACCGACTTTGCAAACTTATGGCTCGTGATTCTTATTAGGAACTTTCTGAGGATTGCAACATTGAGTTTCATATTTCTTGTCCCAAATACTAACCATTTAGAATCGGGAAGCAAAAGTACAAATATAGAAACTAATGGTGACAATATACAATTACTGCCCCTAAAGGAAATAGACGAAGTTTGATTGTATATTTAGAAGTCATGGATGAGTTTTAGGCTCTGTAACTTCATTATTATACGAATAAAATTATTATAGCGTATAGGTATTGAATGAATTTGAATTTGCTTCTTATATATTAGTTGTTTATCTAGCTGGCATATGGTTGTTATCTTTATCTAGCCTATTATTTGTTATCTTGATTTTAGATGATTTGTATAAATACCAGTCATTAGTATTCTTCTATTGATCATGAACGAATAATAAGACACAAAAAACTTGTATTTACATTTTATTATGGTATAAGAGCAGGTTTTCTAACCTACTAATTCATCGACACCGACATGATAGGCACCAACCACAGCTTCAAGACGTCATCGTCGGTAAACCCTACATTTGATCCAAATTCGCCTTTGCAACACCCATAAAATTCAAGCCAATTTAAAACTTTTTAAAACATTTAAAACCATTAAGTTAGTACAACTTGTTTTCAAAATAGTTTAAGCATCAGAGTATCCCCAAAATCAATTCATGAAAATATGGGGAAGTGCATGATCATGCCTTCGCCTTCTCGCGATCATCAGAAGTACCTGAAACATAATCAATAATTGTAAGCCTGAAGCTTAGTGAGTTTCCCCAAAATACCAACGCCATACAAATATAACCATATCATATAACAAATACAAAACAAAATGCATACTGAACCTTCAGCCTGACTGGACTGCCTCGTAAGGCCTACAACCTATCTAGACCGCTCTTGAGGCTTTGGCATGACTGTACCGTCTCGTAGGGCCTACAGCCTATCCGGACCGCTCTCCTGCTATGTTGGCCTACAACACAAAGCAGGACCGCCTCAACCCAACCCCCAATCAAACGAACGTATGCACATAATATCATACGCTAGCTCATATCATATAATAGTCAAATCGATCTAACAGATCACTAATCATAGCAACATCCTAAAAATCAGGATACAAACCCTACTGGTCACTAGCATAACATCATCCTATAACCAGGACATTGACCTAACCAGGTCACTAAGCATAAGCATATCACCATCCCAACTACCATGATGTAATCAATAAACATATCATGCCATAACCAGATACAATCCATAAGGGCCGGCCTTGGTGCCTTAAACCCTATTGATATAGTGAGGATAACTCACCTTAAAATGTTGAAGTCCCGTAGATACAATCCCAACTGCTGGATGACAGATTCCTGAATTGTCAATATCAAAACATCACTCAATTAATAATTGGGTCCCAACACATAATCACAAATTCTTGGAGTAACAGGCTACATTACCCCATCTTGGCTTGATTCAAGCCCAAGGCCCAATCCAAAGACCCAAAAGTCAAACTAGGAATCAAAGCCCAACATATGGCCCAATTTTCCCAATTGGGCCCAAACCATTACATGGTTATAATTAAAGGCCCAACTACTTAGTCCAGTCCAAACATTTGGCATTTCCAATGGCCCAATATCATATAATCATCAAGGCCCAAACTATGGCCCATCCACAACCCAATTTTCCAAATTAGGCCCACACCCTCATATGGGCCTTACCCTAAGCCCATCAACATATTCTAGTCCATATGATTATTCTTGGATGGCCCATTAATAATCCAACTCCCAAAGCCCAAAGGAAAGGCCCAACTCAAGGCCCAAGTGAAATAGGGTTTTCACATGAAATGACGATTAGGGTTAAGTTTTTCTCACTTAGCCCATTAAGGACTTAATCCATTAAGTCCATTACTCTACTAGATAAATTATATGGTGTGATTGGGTGTAATTCACAATTCCATTCCAATGGCCAAAATGTGGGTTTTTTTCATGAAATGATGATTAGGGTTAAATGTCCCTACTTAACCCATTAAGGACTTAATTCGTTAAGTCCAATATTGCCTTAGATTAACTACAAATGATTATTAATTAACATTTTAAGTGTATAAAACAATTCCCGTGTGTGTGTCCCGATCAAGTCCCAAAATTAGAGTTTCATGGCATTAGGGTTTTCCAAACCATATTTAGGGTTTCCAACCCAATACTAGCCCATTAGTTAATTGGTTGGGCTTTTAGGTCAATTGGGCTTCATTGGGCCCATTATGGTTTCATTAGGCCTATTAGGCTTTCAAACATCCCAACGAGTCAAAAAATGCAAACGAAGCACACCGCTACCCAACAGGGCGGCTGGTGGCGGCAGCCACCACCCTACGGTGGTGGTTTGAGCTTTTCTTTTCATTATTCCTACTCTATTATAGTTTTACAATGCAATATCAATAATACACACTAAGCTACACACACAACAATAAAATTACACAGAAACACAACCACCCTTGTGGTGGCCGGTGGTGGTATATGGCGGCGACCACCACCTCACGGTGGTGGCATCGGCTTTTTCGTGAACTCCGGCCAAACAAAACACCATACAAGACCATCAAAAAAGCCGAAGAGTCTTACACTTGCATCTTGCTCAAAAAGCGAACCCGTACCCTCCTGTGGTGGGTGGCGATGGCAGTGAGTGAAATAGCCGGCAGCAGAAGCCACGATAGGAAGCGCGACGGCGCATCTTAGTGGTTTTTGATGTCCCACTCTCGATCTTCTTCATTAGCCACGACAGAAGCCACGATAGGAAGGGCAACGGCGCATCCCAGTGGTGGCGATTGTTAGGTTCATTTTTACGTATCATTTTAGTACATTTTGTTAATTATTTTCACGATATATTGTATATATTTAGTATGCATTTCATATGTTTCATTGTGTCGCTAGTTTGGGATAATTTTACTCGTTTAAGTTTAATTTGTGCAGATTTATGTAAGCGGGGCATGACATTTTTGAGCACCAATATAAGTCACATGGAAGGCCTTGCAACTGCGATCAATGTCTGGAAACAAAATCCATAATAAAGTAATAAATCGAAACGACTTAAGGATTTTTTGGAAACTTGGCAGCAATGTGCGGCTTTCGTAAAGTGATTGGATCAAGGGGTAAACATAGTCCGATTGAGTTGAAATTTTACTGGTGTCTTCCTAACCCATAGATCAATAATCTGAACGGTGGAGATCGGATTTGAAGATCGTTTGATGCTCCTTACAGGCCTCGTGAACAGTCGCAGGAAATCTGTCCAATAAAAAAAGAAATAAAAATGACAGCCCACTTTTTAGCCTATACATTACAGCCTACTTTTGGTCTTTTTAAATCAGCCCAATAGTACTTCTTCATCTAGTTTGGCGGCCCATATTAAATGAAGTACTAGCCCATGTTTGATGAGAAAAGGCTAATCATGAATAGGTTTTTGTTTTTTTTTTTTTTTGTTTTTTTTGTTTTTGTTTTGTTTTTTTTTTTTTTTTTTTGGGGGGGGGGGGGGTTAGTTATTATTATGAAGACACATATATTAAAGGGGAAAGTTCACGGGGACGCACGGGAGGACATAAAAGAAGAAGAACGAGAAGGGGAGTTGAGATTTTCTCTAACGTTTCAAGCATCAAAACAATCTCAATTTCTTGCAGTAAGTTTTATTTTTCATTGATTAAATTGTAGTTTCCGGGGTTTAGCCGTCTTAAACGGCTAAACCACCGGGTTTGATGTTTGAATTAGTTTAATTATTTAGACTCGTTTTAAATCGTTGTGTGAGATTGTTATTTAGATTTAATACACTCCTATCCATATGATTTCTGATTTTCATTAATCCCGTTGTTACAATTTTAGTTGGGCTTGAACAACCTGGTTAGGGTTTTAACGATGAATTGCTAATCAATTAATTGAATTCGTAATCGTTTTTTTTAATTGGTCTAAGTAGCAAATAATGCACTTGTATTATGAAATCATGTTGGTACAATGTAAATTCTCCGAGCTTACGTGAGGGTTCATTGTGTTTGGTGTTTAGTTTGTACTTTAATGCGACTCTCACTTAATTATAAATTGCTCAGTTGATAATTTTGTAGTGAGTCAGTTCTAATTGAAGTACTCATTTTAGTTAGATAAGTTCGCAGCTTGATTAAAGAGCTTGTTTTAATCAAGGGTCTGACGAAACGGGTTGTTAGAGCTTGTTGACAACCGCGACCAAACTAGAAATTGTATAAAAATCATTGCACGTAACAATCCATGATCACACATCTAAATAAGTCTTTTGATGCTAATTCAATCATCAAATAGTTAGTTTTGTAGTGTTTATTTATCGTATTTTAGTTAAAACATCCGGTTTTGTAGTTTGAACTTCATTTTTATGTAGTTGATCATATGATTTGATGTTGAATTTGTATTCTATCTAGTGAATTTGATTTCGTTTCAACCGAATGTTTGATTTTAATTTTAGTTCTTATTGGTCATTTGAATTAGGGTTAGATCATTCAAGTTATCTATTTTCCAAAATCCGTAATTATTTTGTGAAATAGAGCAAGTAACAAGCACTAAATTGAATTCTTTTGAATAAATCTAGTGTAAATCATATTCACACATTTTTACGCTCCCGAGCTTGTGAGGAGTATTGAATGTTTTTTGGGAACATTCACATAAAGTTTAATGCAACCTTTCAATCTAATTCTATGAGCTTATTTAGATTGGGTTAGCAAGGTTTGGTTTAATTCAAAGAGCTTGTTTTGGTTAAACAACTTGGTGAATGGGAAGTGTTAGAGCTTGTTAATGCTTTCAAGTACCAACTTAGATTAGAATTCAACTTGACATCAATCATTATTAGCTTGCATCATTAGGAA